AAGCAATCACGAAATTCATTTAGAAAAATAAGAGACCCAAAGCAATTGCCAAAGCAATCTTTAGCTAAAAGAGTAAAGCAGGAGTAAAACAATACCAGAACTTAAACTATACTATAGAGCTATAGTAACAAAACAGCATGATATTGGCATCAAAACAGACACATGGACCAATGGTACAGAATAGAAGACACAGAGACAAATCCACATAAATATAATTATCTCATACTAGACAAAGGCACCAAAAATTGGAGAAAAGATACCCTATTTAACAAATGGTGCTGGGAAAATTGGAAATCCATATGTAACAAAATGAAATTAAACCCCTATCTCTCACCGTGCACAAAACTCAATTCAAAGTGGATCAAAGACTTAGGCACCAGAACAGAGACCCTGTGCCTAGAAGAAGAAGAAGTAGGCCTAAATCTTCACCATGTCCACATAGGATCTGACTTCCCGATTGATAAGCTTTTAAACCTCAAGTCTCCCTTAGGCCTTAAGATTTTGAAACTGATAATTTGTACAAAAGTTTGACTCTTTTGTTGCCTGCATACTTTGGGGTCATATTCCTTTCCTGAGGCCACTTGGACAAAGTGTTAGTTGCTCCAAAGTGGGGGAGGAAGGTAGGAATACAAGGCCTACCGGCTAGTTTTCAAACTAGCATCCTGCCGCAAATGTTTTTAATTCTCTCAGAATTGAATTCCCTTTTTTCCGCAGATCTACACCCTTCCCTTTCCCTGCTTCTTTGATTTTCAGCTCCCTCCTGCCACTCCTGTTTCCCAGAACTGAGCCATGTTTGTGCTGGGACACCCGTGTGAGTTTTCATAAGAGCTGGCACTTACCATGTTCTAAAATCCACGAGAAACCCAGAAGCCTGACCGTAGGAAAATGTTCCACTGCCCTTTGTACCTTCAGTCTCTAGGACACAGCCTGGCATAGAAAAGGGTTTGATATACTGAGGAGAAATTGATCTTCAGGTAAAAAAATATTTGTCGAAATTCTAATATTAAAGAAAATAAGTAGCCAGGTATGGTGATGCGTGCCTGTAATCCCAACTAATAGGGAGGCTGAGTCAGGAGGATCACATGTTTGAGAGCAACCTGGGAAACTTAGTGAAACCTTATCTCAAAATAAAATTTTAAAAGGGCTTGGCAAATACTTCCGTGGTAGAGTGCTTGCCTAGCATGTGTGAGTCTCTGGGTTCAATTCTAGTAGTGTCCCCACACAAAAAGACAATGGCTAAAACATAACACCAATAGTCTCCTTTTCTGCCCTAAGCAGTTCAGAAACACTGATTCCAATTATGACAGTAATTCTCTAAGTAGATAAGTACCATTATTCTCATCTTACAGATGGAAAAATTGTGGAAACACAGAGAGGTTCAGCAACTTGCTTAAGGTCACATTGTAGAAAGTGAAATAACCATAATTTGAATACTGGCAGTTTGGCTTTAGAGTCCATAGCTCAGCCACTAGGCCTTATCACTTTCTCACATGTTGACTTGATTTTTGAAAGAAGATGACACACTGTGTAAAGGATCCTGATACATATTTTTAAAATCCCATTGTTCTAAAATGCTTCCCAAGAGGCATAAAAGAAAATGGATTTTATTGTTTTACTTATCACTCGTAAGGATAATTTATTGACATATTTATTTTAAAAGCATGAGGTGACAAGAGGTAAAGTTTCTATCACTCTCAGCTCAGCTCAGCTGTTCATAGAGCTACATGGTCATGTTCTGTCCTATCATTGGAGAGAATATACCCGCAAGGCAGAGAAAAGCAAAAGGAACACAGAGCCAGGAAGCATCACCCTTACTGTTAAGGTGGGTGAAAAGAAGGCAGGAGGAGAAGAGCTTAGGAATCATTCCAGTGCTCTGATTTTTTCCAGAGAAAATAATATACAGTAATTCAGAGATTTCATTCATTTTTCTAGAACCACCAAACTTAAGTCAAATAGTAACTCTAATGAAATAAACAGCATGATAATGAGACTTAAATTGATTATTGAAACAGTCTGAAGACAAACATTTCTCTGTATATAAATTTGATTTACTCCTTCATTAAACTTAAATTTTATGCTGTCATTATTTATTTTGTGTGAATATAAGAGGTCTGTACAATTTTTTTCTGTGCAAGTATTGGTTAATCTGAAAAAGCTTCTTCATTCTTTAATTACTTATTATAACACTGGAAATCAGACAGACTTTTGTTAGCTACTTTTTGAACTGTACACTATGATAACGATTTTACCTTTATTCTTACTGAAATTCTTATACCTGACTAGCTTTCTTTATTGTTTTATATTAATTATATCTACTTGCAACTAATATGCTATCGTGGAAATATTTCCTTATTCAAATAAATATAAGTAGCCATAAGTTACCATGAAGGAAGCAAGTTAGATTGAGTACTGAAAGACAACAGCAAAACTAGAAGGTCCTTTGGCCCACTTTGGACAAAGAACAAACACACGTTTATTTATTCATTTATTTAAAAAGTGTTGAGTACCTATTATATACAAGGCAAAAGTTGATGTTAACAATGTCTATTAGAATATGATAATAAATGATGATTCTAAACAGGACCAGTCCATCAATTCACTTAGGTTCTAATGGCTGGTTAAGTTAAATGATGGGTGCTGTCCATTTAAGGCTCTTAGAACACCCAAAAATCCTGGTAAGTAATATGCACTGTAGTTATAGTTATGCTTTTGTTTCCAAGGCTAATAAATAACAACACCCCATTAAGGTGTTTAGAACCCAAACTAGTCACAACTAAGGGTGAAGAAATAAGCTGGTAATATAAGCCAGATCTAATTTTTGATTATTGGTGAACATTGGACATGGTATATAAACTACATTAAACACCGAGCAGATATGCATATCAAAATGCCATATTAAATACATATGTATTGTTAATCATAAATGGAATAAATAAAGTTAACGTGGAAATTTCATTAAGAAAACGGTTACCCACATTATTTGTATATGACTTCCCTATTAAATTGAAATACTTACCATTTTTGTTTTATGTGTATATTTTACAACATGGGAAATTTTATGTAAGGTGGAATCAGTTATTTTGTGATGAAATTTGGAACTGCAGCAGAATTTCAGCTTTATTATATTTCAAAAAAATTTTGAAGCCACGAATAATGGTAAAATTAAAAAATGGAACAACATATGAAATCACAATTAATTATTTTTACAATTTTTTATTTAAGGTCTCCCACTGTGAAACTATAAAGTCCTTTTTTATGGAATTCCTTAGTAGTGTTTTCTCTATAATTGAATTTAATCTGGAACATTTAAGGTTTCATTGGTCATAATTACTTTTTTCTTTACCCCATTTCTTTATTTATTTATACATTTATTTTATTATTTTTTGAGATAGGGTCTCACTAAGTTGCTGAGGATGGCCTTACACTTGTGATCCTGCTGCCTCAGCCTCTCTATTAGCTGGGATTACAGAAATACACTATCATGCCTAGCTTATAGTTCTTCTTTTCTGCACAGATTCAAAGCTCAAAAGATTTTAAGAATTATTAGTCAGTAAAAATAATTTATGTGATTTCTATATGAAATAAATGAGCTTTTCCTCTCAATTAAATATAATACTAATATTCCCCATGGAGTTAAAATATGGTAGATTTTTAAAAGTAATTGAAATATGTTAATGAGAGGATAATATTTTCATGCTAAACTAAGTTTGGGAATTCACACATTATTAAAATGATTTTTTAATATAGAGGATGACCTATGTATTCACTTGCCTACATAGAATTTTGAAAATTGTTAACAATATAAGGTATAGTACCATGTGGTGCCAAATCAGGTTTCTCAACATATCCAGGATTATGTGGACCAAACTTTCATTCGATTAGTCCCTGGCCTCTGTTGCAATTGGGAACCTCTTGTTTTCAGTGTCTTAAGAAAAGTATAACAGAGCTGTAAGAACAAGCTATGAAAAATAAATAAATAAATAAAATGAATCATCCTAACAGCAAAATCTTCTCTGATCAATCTGTTTTGTTTTCTTTATTGAACACAGACCCTAATGTTTTGTGCCTCTAAAGGTTTAGAACACAACTATTGGCAGGTAGAGGAAGCACAAAAGAAGTGGTTCTCATCTTAACCCTAAAATCAATGGCCACTGGTGTTTTAAAAGGGCCTCCACTAGTTCCCTGGTCTCTTCTATGATCTCTGAGGGGAAGGACATCCCAGAAAGATCACTGTTCCTGTTCCCATACATTTTCAGACAAAACACCACTGCTTTCCATGAAGAAGAGCCCAAGAGTGGTGAAGCTGCCCTCTCCTGTGTCCATCTACCTTCCCCTAAAGGCAGTCTGTTTTGCTTCAACTGTTAAGTGGGTAACATGAGGAGAATGGAGAGAAAATTCATTTCTTATCCTTACAGTGGTATAACTTCTGAATGTCTTCTTAGCTATCAGGGGGATAAATGGATCTGGGAGGCCATCATAGAAGGAACAGAGTTTTCTGGAATTTTTAAATACCACCAAGGCATTGGTAGTTGGGTAGGCTAGGTGTGACCAAATTTTTAGAATTGCTGTCAGTTCATAGGACAAAAATTCATGACTGCCCTTTTTAGTTCCCCAAACATTTATTAATGAATTAATTTCCAGATTGGTCTATTTAGTGGAAAGAGGCATTGTTCTGTTAACAGGGAGTTGAGGAAAGACTGGAGCTGTAAGCACTGGTGGTGGATTCCAGTTTGGTCATGCTTTCTGATCCCTAACTACAAAGCTGGATAAGAAAGTGCATTGGTTAAATGTGAAAAAGCATGTGCTGCCTCTCCAAAGTCCAGAAGTGCTTCAAAACTGTGATGTATATAATTCAGAACAATAAACTACGTGCACAAAAGGAGTTTATCATAACATAAAATTAAAAAGTGACAATTTCATCACACGGTTACACTGCTGTTTTCCTTTTTTTTTTTTTTTTCATTTTTTGGATTTGTCCTTTTTTTTTTGTTTTGTTTCATTTTTCATTTCCACTTTTGTTTTATATGGAGGGTTGGGGGAGGGTAGAGATTTTGTCCACTGAAGATTAGTCACCCTCAATGATATATATATTAGAAAAAATATCAGCAGCAAGACTCTCTGGAAATAGATTCTGTTTGATGTAGCTAGTCTGTCTTTTCTGTTTTGCCCTCTTTCACAGCAGCCTCTGAAGTTTTCCGCAGTGGGGCTTTCTCGGAGTTGGCATGTCCTTGGCCAGAATCCGCTGCTCCACCGTTTTTGTGAGAAGTGTGTTTTTCCAAGTAGTTCAGCATTTCACTGAGGACTGTCTGGAAAGTGCTTAGAGCTGCACATATTGCTGGAGTCCCAAAGCCATGAGTGATCAAACTGGAAATGAGAAGTGGTAAGAAAAGGTAGGTGGATAACTTGTGGTATGATTTGGACCAGAACACCCACCCCCACTTCATCCAGAACATTTAACTGAACATTCATTTATTATTCTCCCAAGTGTTGTTGAACATTGTGGAGGATATAAGACAATTCAAGTACTGCCGTTGACCAAGTTTAGGACCTATTTGAAAAGACTTATCATTTACAAACTTGTTATACACTAATTATTAGCAAGTCTGAATATTAAACATATGATTTGATTTTCTATTTCATTAGGAAGTAGATAAAAAGTGTAACTTCCTACCTGTGGAAATTACCTTGCTTTCACAAACATATAGTTGTATGGCATAAATCACCCATCAAGAAATCATAATTGGTTGAGTGTCCCTGATAACAATCCATTCTTATTACTCCATTCTTTTTTTTCCCTCTATATTAATGAATATTATTTTTCTGGGAATGTGGCCACCTAGCTACAGATGACATTGCTGAGCTTCTCTTTTGGCATTTGGACATGGAACTAATCTATCCATAATAGAATATAAAGGAAGTGATATGCAGTTCTCACTTGATTAAAAAGACAATCAAGTGCCTTCTATTTCTTCACAAAGATTCTATGCATTATACAGATGAAGAAATCATGTTGGTAACAGAGACAGAACAAAGCGGAAGGAACCTATCCACCTCCAGACTCCTAAATGAGAGAATAATTAAAATTCCATCTCATGTAAGCTCCTCTCTGTTTGGGTCTTGTAAGCAAACTAATTAACTAATAATCATAACTAGTATGCAAGTGTGGAGAGAGTTGTGGTAACCTCAGCATAGATAGCCATTCCAGCTATAACGATGTTTCTTGTTGAATAAATACTTGCTGTAGATTCTCTTTTCTGTGACTAGAAACTATACACATTTTTTTTTTCCATTTGTGTCAGTTGTTCTGAAGTAACACTCTTGGTTTGCTTCCCATAAATTTTAATAATACACAAAATCATACTTGTCTCATCTTATATTGTACTATATGTAACATTGTGTGTATATATACAGATAAAATATACTTAATAAATGAAACTATTAACTGTTTATACATCTTAGGTTGTTATTTTGACAAATGACTATGACACTAGCAGTTTTAAAATTAAATGCTATCGATTCTTCATAATATGCTAAAATATTTGTTACTTCTCTTAAGATACATAATTTTTAACAGCATATAATGAGATTTTATTTATTTATTTATTTATCTACTTATTTATTTATTTATTTATTTATTTATTCTGTGGTGCTGGGGATCAAACCCAGATCCTTACACATGCTTGGCAAGCACAATACTGAGATTTTTAAATGATATTTAAAGCAATGTAAACGAGAGTTTTGGAATCTAAGGCAGCCTACTAAAATACCTCACAGGAAGCAATAGTAGGATCTACCATATGAGATTGTTGTGTATATTAATTCACACAGAGAGCTCAGGTGATGCTATACCTACACTAAATGCTTAATTAAATACAGATATTCTTCATTGTGACATTTACATGGTTAAGGGTAAAATTTTCTGCATGTCCTTCATGGTCCCATCATCTTTTCTTTGGATATTTTACAAAGTTTGTCTTATGCCTCAATCATAATTAACATACATTAAAAAGCACAAAACAATTCAGTCTTCCACCATGTAGAAAACAAGAATATTCATGGTTCGGGCAATTATTTGCACCAATGTTGTAGTATGAGACACCATGGTTTGAATATATGCATATCTTTGCTGCATTGTCTTACATTGTTGAAAGGGAAAACTGATTTCAGCCCCATTTCTATAATGAGACAACTAGAGGGGAATTGATATGATTTGGGATCTCTCAGGGATCCTGGAAAACAAATGAATTCTTTGGAGTAGCAGAAGAAGTGGTTATGGTGGCACCTACTGAATGTGCTGAGTAACACCTTCCCTTAATGTGTAGCTTCTTGGCCATGGACACAAACTGTTCTTTTCTCAAGTTTTATTCATATTTAGGGTTCCTTGGAGCATTACATGAATTTTATTTTCCATCATAATGGCATATTCTCTTGGTTGTGACTGACCTCTTTATCAGCATTTGAGTCTACAGTATTTAGTTTCACTCGGATAATTATTAAAGTTTGTAGCCACTATTTGAATTATGAACAAAAATACTCCAGGCTTAAATTATTTATCTGTATCACCTCATATAAAACTAACTACAACACCAAGTAATAGGTATTATTGGGCTGGAGATGTGGCTCAGTGGTAGAGTACTTGTTTAGTATGCACAAGACCCTGAGTTCAACTTTCAGTACTAAAAAATAAAACAAAACAACAAAATGAAGTAGGTATTATTATTACATTTTACAGATGAAGAAATGAGGCCCAGAGGATGAAACTAAATAATGTGTCTTAGGAATTGACTTTGCATTTAGTTTCCTCTCAGGCTGAATTTACATTTATTCTTTTTCTTTGATAAATGACATTTCTATTAGCAATTTAAGCTTAAGTTCTCTGACAGTTTTGTTCTGTGGGCTGACTTATAAGACCAGAATATGGTGATTCTCCTTACTTTCTTGTATAAGAGCAGGATTTTAGAGCCTCAAGTACAAACTGCTTTAATTGTCATTCTGTGAAAAGAGTTGTTGTTATAATGAAGGATATCAATTCTCAGCTGACATACTTTCTTGATTCCAAAATCTGTAATTGATCATTATCAGATTGCACTGTGGTCTTTTATCTGGATTGAGAACTGGTTTTACAAAATCCTCACACACTTATGCTGACCTGAGGTACTTCATCATTTCAGGAACATTATTTAACCTTGTAAGATGACAGTGGCATGACTAGAGCAAATACAAGGTCCTTTCTAACTCTAAGCTTCAATTTAACTGTGTTACTACTTACAGTTCTTACTTCAAAACCAAGACATGGACAGAAGGTGAAGGAAATTGAAAAAACACTTAATTTCACAGAGAAGTTTAAAATTGTGCGATACTCAACACAGGAAAGTATTTTTAAACATGAAAAGTGTTATGTAAGTATCCTTTACTACCTTAATTTAACATTACTTGTACATCAAAAAGCATGTATGGCATGATATTAACTATAAGACACAGTCTCTTTTCTAGCAGTTTTCAGTGAAATTTATGGATCCAATTAATTAAGTGATCTACTATTGTTTCAGAATATCTAACAAAAAAGTCTGCTATCACAAGATAATTCAAAAGGATTACTGATAACTTCACTATTGTTAGTTCCAATCATTTCAGGAAAAATATGTACATCTCATTCACAGTGACATGCTAAATAAGAGAAGAGATTAATATAGAATATACAAAAAAACAAAAGCAAAGTAGATATGGAAGGGTTGATTTTTAGTACTAGACAGAGAACAAACTAAGGTTATCCGTGATGATTTTTTTGCGTATGACACAGGGAACAAACGCAAAAATAAGCAAGTGGAACTACATCAAACTAAAAAGCTAGACATAGCAAAGGAAAGAACAGGATGAGAAGGCAACTCACAAAAAGAGAAAACATATGAGCAAACCGCATATTTTTAATGTGGGATTAGTATCAAAAATATATAAGGAAATCATACACACTTCAATAGCAAAAAGCAAATAATCTGATTAGAAAATGGGCAAAGGATACGAATAGATGTTTTCTCAAAGATGACATTAAAATGACAAATAGGTACATGAAAATATTTTCAATACCACTAATCATCAGGGATATGCAAACTCAAGTCATAATGAGATATCACCTCACACACATTAGGGTGGCTATTTTAAAAAAGACAAGAGATAAAAAGTGCTAGTGAGGCTGTAGAGAAATGGTACCACAGTACACTGTTGGCGAGAACATACATTGGTACAGCCATTAAGAAAACAACATGGAAGTTCATCACTTACATGTTTAATCTAAAAAGTTGAACCACAGAAGATTAGAGTGGTTGACAGGGCTAGGTGGGGGAAATGAAGAGATATTGGTCATATATAAGTGAGATCATATGATATGTGTCACTGTGTGCTTGGCTTATTTCAAATTTTCTACCCTCAGTTCCTGGCACTCAATGCTCTAGTTTTTGTCCCTATAGTTTTACTCTCCTGTTGAATGTCATATAAACTGAATCATAAAGTTTGTAGAGCTTTGGGACTTATTTCTCTCATTTAGCAAATTATTTTGAGATTCATCCATGCTGTATTTATCAAAAGATTATTTCTTGTATTGCTGGTAAATATTCCACTGGTGGATCTCTCACAATTTGTTTATGCAATGGGTAATTAAAAACATGAAGCATTAGCATTTAAAAAATAGAAGTGATCACTGAAATGTTTCATGGATTCAGTAGGAAGTGCAATAAAAGTAACTGTACTTCCATTCATAAAATGGTTATTAGAGCAATAAAATTTAGATTTAGACACTAAATCCATTTTAGTGTCAGATTTTAGCAATGCATCTGATAAATCTCCCAAAATACCATATGACAAATTGGTTAGAAAAGTAAGCTAGATAAGAGCATAATAAGGCAAACTCACAGCTGATTGTACAATGGTACCCAAAGTATGGATATGAGGGCAGTTGCCAGTCTTGAAGGATATCTCTAGTGGAGTGCTGTGAGGCTCTCATTAATCCCACTCTGCTTGACAAGTTAATTAACAATGAGATTGAAGGCATCATGGATTTTTAACTTAATGGTTGGCATTAAAATAGAGAAGAAAATTCCTGCATTGGATAATAGAACCAAAGTTCTAAAATACCTTAATGTGGTAGACAGCTTAATTGGTGGGCAAAATCAATTATATGAAATTTAGGGGAGATTAAGGAAAACATGTCCACTTGGGTAAAAAGCAAATTAGTGTTGCAGTATACCAAGGGAGAGATCTGATTCAAGAGCAGTTTACAGGGGGGAAAGGCTTTAAAACCAGTAATTTTAAACTAAAATATAAAGGGTCAAAATTAGTGGGTTGGATCACAGCTAGGCAGGCTTCAAAAA